CCATCCTACCTTCTCCTCTCTCACTACCATCCCAGTCACCATCCTACCTTCTCCTCTCTCACTACCATCCCACTCACCATCCTACTTTCTCCTCTCTCACTACCATCCCACTCACCATCCTACCTCCCCATCTCTCACTACCATCCCACTCACCATCCTACCTCCCCCTCTCCCACAACCATCCCACTCATCATTCCGCTCTCCTCAACTTCGGTTTCACTGCCACGTCCAAGCACCACGTACAGAATACAGTGTTCCCTGCAACACATTGTGAAACACCACAAGGAAGGTACACTCACGCCAGATACACTTAAACAGGTCACATTAACGAGATTTAACTAGTTCTCGTTAAGTAATGTTTTTTATGCATGCTGGGTTCAATCTTCATGCATGCTGGGTTCAATCTTCATGCATGCTGGGTTCAATCTTCATGCATGCTGGGTTCAATCTTTATGCATGCTGGGTTCAATCTTCATGCATGCTGGGTTCAATCTTCATGCATGCTGGGTTCAATCTTCATGCATGCTGGGTTCAATCTTCATGCATGCTGGGTTCAATCTTCATGCATGCTGGGTTTACTCTATTTTTCGGGTTTAATCTCTGTTTAAAAAAACAAAGACGAAGACAGGGATCATGTGTGACAAGAACCAGAGCCTAAAATATCACATTAATACCTTCATACCTATAATAGTAACTATGATAGTATCTTACGATATTAACTAACCTAACCATGACAGTATCTTACGATAATATTAACTAACCATGATAGTAACTAACCATGACAGTATCTTACGATAATATTAACTAACCATGATAGTAACTAACCATGACAGTATCTTACGATAATATTAACTAACCATGATAGTAACTAACCATGACAGTATCTTACGATAATATTAACTAACCATGATAGTAACTAACCATGACAGTATCTTACGATAATATTAACTAACCATGAAAGTAACTAACCATGATAGTATCTTACGATAATATTAACTAACCATGATAGTAACTAACCATGATAGTATCTTACGATAATATTAACTAACCATGATAGTAACTAACCATGACAGTATCTACGATAATATAACTAACCATGATAGTAAAATAACCATGACAGTATCTTACGATAATATTAACTAACCATGATAGTAACTAACCATGATAGTATCTTACGTTAATATTAACTAACCTTGATAGCAATTAGCCATGATAGTAACTAATCATGATAGTAACTAATTATGATAGTAACTAATTATGATAGTAACTAATTATGATAGTAACTAATCATGATAGTAACTAATCATGAAAGCAACTAATTATGATAGTAACTAATCATGATAGTAACTAATTATGATAGTAACTAATTATGATAGTAACTAATCATGATAGTAACTAATCATGAAAGCAACTAATTATGATAGTAACTAATCATGATAGTAACTAATTATGATAGTAACTAATTATGATAGTAACTAACCAACGACAATTTCAAAATTTGTATATTTTCTGTGTAGTTTGTCAGTGTATGTGGTGTGGGCAGCGGTGTATACATGAAGGATAGTTATTTCTGTATATCTCAAGTATTTACACTGAGGGCTGTATATCAGTGTATGTGTGAGCGGGAAGTGGGAGATAGGGAAGTGGGAGATAGGGAAGTGGGAGATGGGGAAGTGGGAGATTGGGAAGTGGGAGATGGGGAAAGTGAAAGATGGAGAGAAACTGGAAGATGGGACGGAAATGGTAAGGAAATGGGTGACATTAAAGAGGGTAATGGGTTAAGAGGGTGATGTTGAGATGGTGATGGAATGACAAGTTTGAGGTAAAGGTGTTAATGGAGGGGGCGGGGGTTGTAAGGGAGGGGGAGATGGAACGAGGGGGAGAGAGGGTGATGAAAAGAGGAGAATTGGTAATGAGAAATTGGAGAGGGGGTAGTGGGCGATGCTACCCATCATTAAGAGCCCATCACTATCAGCTACCCATTGCCGGCCACCCACTGTCACAGCCCTTATCGTCGCCACCCATTCATCACCAGTACCATCCACCCATCACCACCCCACCATTACCACCTATCACTATCACTCCCTCAACACTTATTACCAACACTCACCCATCATCCACCAATCACTACCTATTACCATCACCTTCGCATCAACTATTACCATCACTACCCACCCATCACCAAATCGCCTATTACCATCACCTGCCCATTACCTACCCATTCCCACCCGCCCATCACCATCATAACACTACCTGACCAAAGCTATCATCCAGCCTAGGCCGGATTTGGCCAACATTGTGCATACGTACCACCTACCTTCCTCCCCTCCCTCCCTCCCTCCCTCCCCCCCCCCCTCTCTCTCTCTCTCACACACACACACACACACACACACACACACACACACACACACACACACACACACACACACACACACACACACACACACTTAGATGTCGTATTCAGTGATGCTTCAGGGTCATTCTCGAGGGTCTGCACTCAGTAAGAACACTCAAGCAAACTCGAGGTGTAACTCAGCACTCACTCACCAGTACGTGTCTCAACCACCCACAAACAACACACCCAACACCAACACACACAGTCTGGTTGAGCAACCACTCCAACAAGGATCCAGCATAAGGGAATCTTCATGTAATAATGTTGGTAGAATTACCGACAATATGTAAAGTAAAAGGACACAAGTACAACTAATGTGACATTTTATTGTGGCAACGTTTCGCTCTCCAGGAGCTTTATCAAGCTATTACAAACAATACATGGACACAGAGGGTATATATAGGCTCAGAGTGAGGTGTAAGACACAATAATATCGTTGTACTTAGTAGAAGTTGTAATACCTAAGAGTTATTTAACGCTGCCCAAGCAATAAGCTCTTATAACCACAAGTATTACTACTACTACCACTATTATTACAACTACTACCACTATTATTACAACTACCACCACTATTACAACTACTACCATTATTATAACTACCACTATTATTACAACTACCACTATTATTACAACAACTACCACTATTATTACAACAACTACTGCCACTATTATTACAACTACTACCACTATTATTACAACAACTACCACCACTATTATTACAACTACCACTATTACAACTACCACTATTATTACAACTACTACCACTATTATTACAACTACTACCACTATTATTACAACTACCACTATTATTACAACTACTACCACTATTACAACTACCATTATTATTACAACTACTACCACTATTATAACTACTACCATTATTACAACTACTACCACTATTACAACTACCATTATTATTACAACCACTACCACTATTACAACAACTACTACAACTATTATTACAACTACTACCACTATTATTACAACTACTACCACTATTACAACAACTACCATTATTATTACAACTACCACTATTATTACAACTATTACCACTATTATTACAACAACAACTACCACTATTACAACTACTACTACTATTATTACAACTACTACCACTATTATTACAACTACTACCACTATTACAACTACTACTACCACTATTATTACAACTACTACTACAACGATTATAAAGTGTCTTACACCTCACTCTAAGCCTATATATATCCTGTGTGTCCATGTATTGTTTGTAACGGCTTAACAAAGCTCCTGGAGAGCGAAACGTTGCCACAATAAAATGTCACATTAGTTGTACTTGTGTCCTTGTGCTTAACATATTTATAGTTGAATCAGGCTCAACTCTTCTCCAGGCTGAGGGACTGACCACCTCAAATATTTTTTTCTCCAAGATTGATGGACTGATTACATCGACATTTCTATATCATACCTGCAGCCTGTGTCTCTGACCGAAGAAGCCTTCTGTGTTGGCAAACCGTTTCAACGATAAAGATACCCAAGTGTTGCACATCGCCGAAGGATTGTAGAGAAGGGCGTTACGAGGCGGTGTATTTATACCGTGTGTGGTTATTTTACAGTCTTCTACTTTGCATAATCAAGCAAACTATTGCAGCTAGTTGCTCGCCGGAATACAGAGCCATCATAACCTGGTTGATCTGGTATGTTTGTAACATGACAAACATACGGAGCACACAGCAGTTTAACATGACAAACACACGGAGCACCTAGCAGTGCAACATGACAAACATACGGAGCACCTAGCAGTGTAACATGACAAACATACGGAGCACCCAGCAGTGTAACATGACAAACATACTGAGCACCTAGCAGTGTAACGTGACAAACATACGGAGCACCCAGCAGTGTAACATGACAAACATACGGAGCACACAGCAGTGTAACATGACAAACATACGGAGCACCCAGCAGTGTAACATGACAAACATACGGAGCACCCAGCAGTGTAACATGACAAACATACTGAGCACCCAGCAGTGTAACATGACAAACATACTGAGCACCTAGCAGTACGTCAACTGTGAAACATTTGCGTTTTCAGATAATCAGAAAATAGGCTTTTGATTTGTTTTTAGGAAATTTATTTTGCGGTGTATGTGAGGGTGGGTAGAAGTTGTTAGGTATCCCGTAGCTCGATTTCTAGGGCACTCAGCACACACACTGAGGTCCGGGGGTCGATCCCCGATACGAGTGGAAATATCAGAGCGTGTTTCCTTAAGACACCTGCTGTCTATGTTCACCTATCAGAAAAATAGGCACCTGGGTGTTAGTCGACTTGTGTGGGTCGCATCCTGGGGAGAAAATTGACCTAATTTGTCCGAAATGTTCTGTATAACAAGGAGCTTTCTATATAGCAGTATGTCACTGATGTCAGCTAAGCCAGTATACGTTGTACAAGTACTTGTAGAAATAAAGATTATTATTATTGTAATTATTAGTGGGGGGAGGGGGCGTGGTGGCGCCACCAGTAACCTTCAACCTCCATCTGGGTGACGCGCCTTGCAGCCTGCGAGTGCCTGGAACAGCGTGCCCCACCATCACCATGCCAACAACAACACTGCTCAACACTTACCCTAGGAGGGAAGCCTGCTCGGCGGGCACGGCGATAGAGGAAGGCATCCTGGAAGACGAGCGCAGTTTCCTGAGGGAGCAAACAAACGAGTGTTAGTAAATGGGTCGAGTACTGTGGACTACCTCTACTCGCTACGTCACACGCGATGCCACAGAACTAGAAGAAAAAAACGTTGATACTACCTACCGTCTTGTGTGTACACTTTAAGACGGCACGCACACGTATTTAACACGGGGAGAACATCCGCCACACTACGAAAGGACTCGTAACGCATATGTAACGGAAGAAGAGTACAATGATTACGTGGAAATATTGGCAACTGTAGCGACGGGTAGCAGCAGTGTACCACCGTTGAGCTTCCCCTCCCATTGACACACCATTATATTACCACCACTAGCTACTAGCCTGCCTTTCTTCATTATTTCTCTCTCTCTCTCTCTCTCTCTCATAGGATGTAGCCTAGCATTTCAGTGTGGGTTCAGTAGCCCAGGCAGCTTTAAAAGTTTCGTTCCAACATAGCTGGAGTCATTATTGCCTTAAAATTTCCACGATTCATAATGGCCTATCTCCCAAAGGAAAAAAACAGTGCGAGAAAAACTACACACACACACACACACACACACACACACACACACACACACACACACACACACACACACACACACACACACATACATACACAAAATTATGGCCAAGTGTCTACCGAGAAGTGCCTTTGACATCTAGTAACTACTACTACTTACACACAGCTCCTGGTATTTGCCACCGTGGGAAGGGTAGGAGGACGCTCCCTCCACAGGGGTGTTGCTGCTGCAGTAGACAAGCCCAGCACTAGCGCAGCCCCAGCTGGATATAACAAGTGAAGATGAGTTTCACGGGCCCGTGACGTAAGGCCGAGGGTGTGCGTCCCATTTAACATTCAAAGCTCCAATCACTAGGGGAGATGACTTCTTGATCCCAGCAGTGTCAAGTCCGTAGAATTTTAGTGTCTGAAGACTAAGGTAGCCTCCCAGCTCAGACCCGTAGATTTCACCTCTCAAGGAAGGTGCCTAGGTGCCAGCACCTAGGCACCTTCGAACCTATTCTCCCCTTGCTTAAATCGACCTAAACTGCCTCTCAGAGAGAAAGGGGGGAGGTAACACCCCACAATTACATCCACAATTACACCAGGCACCTACACTTCCCTGTGCTACACAAATGTTCTCAATGTCAACACAGTGAGCCAGATTCAAGTTATCCAGCAGAACCTAGTGACAGAAAAATCTAAATCACAGCGTTATCTTGCTTACACAAAGATACTTAAACATAACACCACCTTCAACTAGCAATAAAACGCTTTCACTAGTGGTCATGAAGCACTCAGAAAAACGCTGGTATAGCCCATCTTCAGAGATTGTAATTCCCAAGTGTTAGCCACTGCAGCTGTGCTGGAAGGAAACCCTTGAAGCTGTCGTAGCTGATGAACCATTAATGGAATACTGGACGATATCCCCACTGAGTCTCCCAGCTCAGACTGACACATTTCATTACCTGATGCATAAGGCCCATCCTATGTAATGGAATATGACAGTAAAACATAGCTAACTTTTGTTCGTACTATGTAATTGCACTATCAGATACAGTAAGACAACAGTAAATTACAAGTGCCCAATTTCATTATTAAAAATTACCCATATGATTGCTGGTCTTTCTAATTCACGAACATGTAAGATTAGTAAGGTTATTTAGGTACAGGTTATCTAAGTACAATTGTCATATATAGTGTAAATTACTTACGATAAATGGTAAACCCCCCTCCCCCCAAAAAAGTGACTTATTCCCGTTGGGTCTTCGTATTTCCACTGATAGATTTTAATCCTGTGATATGCCTTTGGAAGCTAGAGTCACCGAGGCGATGATTCCAAAACTTTTGTAATAACAAACAACAGAAACGATAAAAGAAATGGATCCCAGTGGAAATAAGTCACTCTTGACTTTTTTGGGTTATCCCAGGTTCTCTACACATATGCTGATATGTATGATAATCTATGTAACTGTATTTGTGTACCTGAATAAACTTAATTAATATAAAGATGCGCCATAACATTGATCATGTTTACCCTAAGTGAGAGTTTCCCGTTTTCTTTATTCAGAGATCTACCACACGCCGTTTTCTTTGTTTGGAATAAATACTAATACAATTCAATTCAAAGTTTATTCTCTATAAGGATTACAATGCTGAGTTTACAGAAATTTGGTTAGTGTTTGGTTTACATGTAGTAAAATTGTGATTACAGAGTGTACCACTAGAACGCTTAGCATGGCTAGGCATTTCGGGCATACTTAGTTTTATTCTTAATCGTAAAATATTATAAATTATGAGGTAAGTTGGTATTATGGCTAAGTGACTAAATACTAGTTTGTGAGTTTAGCAATGTGAATGCTTTTGTTTTGGCACAGTATATAGTTTCAGTAATGGAGTATCACAGGATTCATTATTTTAAGACTGAGATTAATATTTCTGTTTATGGTCAAATGAGTGAGCGAGTGTAAGTGTGAACCACCAGGTGGTATTCGTGTAGTTAGTTGACGGGGTGTATCAGGGAGATAAGATGTTTTCTAATGGTAGTTTTGAAGGTGATGAAGGTGTCTGCAGTTCTAGAGTTCTCAGGTAGGGTATTCCAGATTTTAGGGCCTTTGACATACATTGAATTTTTGTAAAGGTTTAGTCGGACACGGGGAATGTCGTAGAGATGTTTGTTTCTGGTGTTATGCCTGTGGGTTCTGTCACAACTATCAAGAAAGCGTTTTAGGTCAAGGTTGATATTAGAGTTTAAGGCCCTGTAGATATAGATTGCACAGTAGTAAGTGTGGATGTACTGAACTGGGAGTAAGTTTAGATCTTTGAATGCAATAACAAATATACTAACTAATAAAGCCTTATTTCTACAATATGACCACTAAGTTTTTATTTAATTTTATTGTGATTATTAATCAGATGGGTTAGTAACCCAGGATAACCCAGTCAAGTCAGTCATTAAAGACCCCGTCACTGACTTTTTTGGGTTATCCCGGGTAATCTACACATGTGCTGCCATGTATCATAATTTACGTAACTTGAAAATTTACGTGTACCTGATTATTTACTTACACTGGAATTCTTAACTCCCCTCTCCCCATGATCAGACAACAGTCACCTAACACCTAGGCACCTACTTACTGCTAGGCGAACAGGAGGCAGGTTAGGTTACGTTTGTCAGGAAACAGGACAAGTGTTTCCCGACGCGGTCATATGATGACCAGCCACTGGAGCTTTTGGTCATCTGATTGAGGCCTTCAGCTGGCTTACCGGTCTACCCCTTCAAAAATTATTGGTGAGGCCTGGTCACAGACCGGGCTGTGGGGGCGATGACCCCCGAAACCTTCCCCAGGTCTTGTCGGTGTAAAGAAACACATCCAAAGATTCCAACCGTGCCAGGAATCGAACCCCGGTCCTTCAGTGTGCGAGCTAAGGCGGCTACCAACTGAGCCCACACAGATAACTAGAACAGAGTATACTACAGACTCTGGCCATACAATAGAGCGGAAAAATAATGTAAGGGACCTGGGAGTAGTAATGTCTGAGGATCTCACTTTCAAGGATCACAACAATGCCACGATCGCACGTGCAAAGAAAATGATAGGATGGATAATGAGAACGTTCAAAACGAGAGATGCCAAGCCAATGATGATCCTTTTGAAATCACTTGTTCTCTCTAGGCTGGAATACTGCTGTACATTAACATCTCCATTCAAAGCAGGTGAAATTGCAGATCTAGAGAGTGTACAGAGATCCTTTACTGCACGTATAAGTTCTGTCAAGCACCTTAACTACTGGGAACGCTTGGAAGCACTTGACTTGTACTCGTTAGAACGCAGGAGAGAGATATATATCATAATCTACACTTGGAAAATCCTGGAAGGAATGGTCCCGAATCTGCACACAGAAATCACTCCCTACGAAAGTTAAAGACTGGGCAGGCGATGCAAAATGCCCCCAATAAAAAGTAGGGGCGCCATTGGTATACACTAAGGGAAAACACCACAAGTGTCCGGGGCCCAAGACTGTTCAACAGCCTCCCATCAAGCATTAGGAGAATTGCCAATAAACCCCTGGCTGCCTTCAAGAGAGAGCTGGACAGATACCTAAAGTCAGTGCCTTGGATCAACGTGTAGCGCAAGTTGCACGCCAAGGTATTGTCCAGTGTGGGTAGATTGGTATAGCACTGCGTACCTTGTGCCAAGGTTCGTAGGTTCGAGTCTCCTTCAGCCAGAGATCAGTGTTTGTGTATATTTCGCCTGCTCTTGCGAATTCCTTGCATATTATATTATATATATAATATATATATATATATATATATATATATATATATATATATATATATATATATATATATATATATAATCACATCGGCCGATTCCCACCAAGGCAGGGTGGCCCGAAAGAGTAAAACTTTCATCATTCACTCCATCACTGTCTTGCCAGAAGGGTGCTTTACACTACAGTTTTTAAACTGCAACATTAACACCCCTCCTTCAGAGTGCAGGCACTGTACCTCCCATCTCCAGGACTCAAGTCCGGCTTGCCGGTTTCCCTGAATCCCTTCATAAATGTTACTTTTCTCACACTCCAACAGCACGTGAAGTATTAAAAACCATTTGTCTCCATTCACTCCTATCAAATACGCTCACGCATGCGTGATATCTTAATATACAATATAACCACATTGAAAGTGGTGGTATGACCAGGGCGATAGTGATTTCTCGCCGATCAGAGAATAACAAACCTCATGAACGTGAAACGTAATGTGAAAAATCGCATTTGCTTTGTCTGTTTCGTAAGGTGAAGTCCAGGATCTTTCCTTAATTCATGGTATAACTTAACAAATCTTTGATGACATCTGTGTTGTAGACTTAATATAGACCTGGTTAATATTGACCTGGGCTATATTAACCTAAAGGTTAATATGTTAACATGTTTCTCTGTTAAAAAAAAAATATCACGGGTGGGGTTAGAACCCGCGATCAGAGAGAGACAAAACTCAAGACCT